CACCCACTTTGGCACACCCCTCACACGTCTCGTGGCCCCATAGGGAGCTCCAGCTACGGTCCCAGTGGCGGAACTCGCATGGCGGCCTCGGGCCATTTCGGCACACCCCTCACACGTTTCGTGGCTCCATAGGGAGCTCCACCTAAGGTCCCAGTGGCGGAGCTCGCATGGCGCCTCGGGCCATTTCGGCACACCCCTCACACGTCTCGTGCCCCGTAGGGAGCTTCACCTAAGGTCCCAGTGGCGGAACTCGCATGGCGGCCTCGGGCCATTTCGGCACACCCCTCACGAGGATCGTGGCCCCGTAGGGAGCTCCATCGAAGGCCCCACTGGCAGGGTTTGCATGGCATCCTCGGGCGATTTTGGCACACCCCTCACGAGGATCGTGGCCGAGCTCCGCCGAAGGCGCCAGTAGCAGGGTTCGCATGGCGGCTTCGGGCCATTTCGGCACACCCCTCACGAGGATTGTGGCCCCATAGGGAGCTCCACCGAAGGCGCCAGTGGCAAGGTTCGCATGGCGGCCTCGGGCCATTACGGCACACCGCTGACGAAGATCGTGGCCCCATAGGAGTTCCACCGAAGGCGCCAGTGGCAGGGTTCGCATGGCATCCTCGGGCCATTTCGGCACACCCCTCACGAGGGTCGTGGCCCCATAGGAGCTCCACCGAGGGCGCCGGTGGCAGCTTCCCTCATGGCTCTCGGAGCCCTCTCCAGATTCTGCTCCTCGGTGAGGGGGGCGCCGTCCTCGTCGTCGTCGGCGCCCGCGAAGACGGCCGCGAACGTGTCCCTGAGCATGTCGGGCTCCGGCGGGAAGCCGTGGCCACCTAGGGAGCGTGGGCGAAGATGGTTTTCAGAATTGCGTCTTTCACAATTGCGTATGGTCGGGTCTTTCGCCAGGCTAATTTTTCGCGGGGTTCTTGGATCAGAAGTGAGGAATCATTTTTTTGTAAAACATAGGTTTTGGTTTTTTCTCCCTCAATCATCCTGTGGTGTTGGTCATCGAATTGAAGAGACAGTGCCTTGCGTCTCCTCTCCTCCTCTCCTTGTCTCCTTCTCGCCCCCCTTCCTCCTCCGATCCCTGCCTCTGCCCTCCGAACCGGCCAACCATTTTAGCACACCGCGCGTACGTTTCGTGGCCCCGTAGGGAGCCACACCGAGGGCCCAAATGCCAGCGCTCGCATGCGCCCACCGCGCCCATTTTGGCACACCGCTCATACGTTTCGTGGTCCCATAAAAGGGGGCCACACCGAAGGCCCAAATGCCAGCGTTCGCGTGCGGCCACCGCACCCATTTTGGCACGCAACTCACCCGTTTCGTGGCCCCACAGGGAGCCCCACCGAAGGCCCAAATGCCAGCGTTCGAGCGCGGCCACCGCACCCATTTTGGCACACCCCTCACACGCCTTCGCGGCTCCATGGGGAACCTCACCGAAGGCCCAAATGCCAGCGTTCGCATGCGGCCACGGCACCCATGTTGGCACATCAACCACGCGTTCCGTGGCCCACTAGGAAGTCCCCACCGAAGGCCCAAATGCCAGCGTTCGCATGCGGCCGCCGCATCCCTTTTAGCACACCCCTCACACGTTTCGTGGCCCCACAAGGGGCCCCACAAAAGGCCCGAGTGCCAGCGTTTGCATGCGTCTACCGCACCGATTTTGGCACACAACTCATACGTTTCGTGGCGCCATGGGGGAACCAACCGACGGCCCAAATGCCAGCGTTCGCATGCGGCCACCGCACCCGTTTTGGCACACAACTCATTGTTGCGTGGCCCCACAGGGAACCCCACCGACGGCCCAAATGCCAGCGTTCGCATGCGGCCACCGCGCCCGTTTTGGCACACAACTCATTGTTTCGTGGCCCCACAGGGAACCCCACCGACGGCCCAAATGCCAGCGTTCGCATGCGGCCACCGCACCCATTTCGGCTCACTTTTTGGTTGGGTGGGCTGGTTCCTCCCTGTAGCGAAAAACCAGCCCCGGAACCCTCCCATGACCGAACCCTCAAATCCCAAACCTCCAAATTCAAACACATGGCTACATCATTTTTCTTTCAAAATATCCCACCCCCAAATTCCAAACATCCATATGACAACACATAGTTCACCTTTTCTCATCCAGCACATCCAAAGCAACCCAGTGGAACAAAAAGGTTTCCGCACCCCTCCTGGCATCGCAAACCGTGTGCTTTCACAGGGGTTCAGTTTGATGTCTGGGGGAGGGAGAGAGCGAGAGAGAGAGAGAGAGAGAGAGAGAGAAAGAGAGAGGGAGAGAGAGGGATAACGAGAGATGGAGAGAGAAAGAGAGAGAGAGAGAGAGTATGGGAGAGAAGGAGAGAGAGAGAGAGAGAGAGAGAGAGAGAGAGAGAGAGAAAAGGGCAGAGAGAGAGAGAGAGAGATAGAAAAAAAGAAACAACGATTGAACTATATCTATATGCAGAGAGGGAGATATACATATATATATAGAGAGAGAGAGAGAGAGAGAGAGAGAGAGAGAGAGAGAGAGAGAGAAAAAGAGAGAGAGAGAGAGAGAGAGAGAGAGAGAAAGAGAGAGAGAGAGAGGGAGAGAGAGAGAGAGAGGGAGAGAAATAACAACAATATAGTGATAGAGAGAGGGTGGAGGCATATTCCATATCCAGCTGGTTGCACTTACATTCCTTCTGGAGCGCATTTGAAACCTCACTGGGCCGATTCCACTCATATTCCTTTTGGGACCAGATCCTAGACACAGCTGGTTCAGAATTGATTCCTATGGGACTGCTCAGGATCGAATTGAACTGTTGCAGATCCCAGATCCAGCTTGTTCCGCTTAGATTCCCATTGGAGTCTAAATTGCATCGGCTTAGAGTTGAGCAGATCCCAGGTCCAGCTGGCTCCAAATACATCCCCGCGCGAGATGGGGGAAACAGATCCCAGATCCAATTGTAATCTACTTGGGGTGGAGCATATCCCAGATCCAGGTGGTTCAAATCAGATGGCGACTGTAATCCAATGAACATCTCATTGCCATGGGATCGATCTCCAGCTGGTTCAAATTTGATCTCTATGGGGCTTAATTCGAGTTCACTTGGAGTTGGGCACATCTCAGATCCAGCTGGGTCCAACTGGGATTCCGATTGGAGCCGAACTAGGATCTACTTGGAAGTGATCAGACCGCATGTCCAGCTGATTGTACTTTGACTCCTGTTGATCATCTACATGGGCTTGGGCAGATTCCATACCGAGCTGAATACAATGTGATTCCTAAGGCAGTCGAATTAACGTCTTCGTGTAATGGATCATTTCCCAGGTGCAGCTGTTTCCAAGTGGATTCCGATTTGGGATCGGATTACATTCTAATTCGAGTTGGGCAGACTACAGACCCGACTGATTCAGTTTGGCGTCCTATTTGAATATATTTGCAATCTAATAGGAACTGAGCAGATCCCATGTCCAGAAGATTTCACACGTATTCCTATTGGAGTATGTTCAGAATCTAATTGGAATTGAGCGGGTCCCAGGTCCAGCTGTGTCCACTTAGATTCCGATTCGAATTTGCTAAGAAGCTGTTTCAACTTGGCCAAGTCCCAAGTGCTGTCGATTCGAATTAGATCCCAGCACGAGAAAGCATGTGAGACATGACGAATCGGCCTGATGGATGGGCAGGCCCGTTTGAAAAGAAAGTGGATGATCAGTCAGCGTACGCATGGAGAGCCCAACTGTCGATGCACCATGAATGGGGTGATGGGGCGGGGGGTGCGCATACATACATATGTATACATACGTACATATAGATATACACATAAAAATGTATTTCTACAGCTGCAGTTAGGTACCCGTGCATGCACATGTCCATGTTTTGGTAAACGTATGTGTATGTGTATACTCATGTGTGCACCTGAGTATAGATACACATCTATGTACATACATATATCTTTCCAGGTACATGAAAATGCCCTGAACGTGCATGTGTCTATGTATATGCAGTTGTTTAGGTACATGTGTATGCATTCGCATATGCAAATGTATATGTTTATGGTTATGAGGTAGACGTTTCTTGCACAGTCATGTGCACATGTTTTGCACGTTTATATGCATATGCGTATCTATGGGTATACACAAATGTATATCCAACTGCACATGTGTGTGCACATGCTTTTGCATGTGCGTATGTACATGCAGTCGCAGATGAATATGTCTATGCACATATATATATGTACATATATATATATATGTTTATGTACATGCATATGTCGGTGTACACTCACAGGTGCATGTATATGTACCTGTATTTGCGCGTGTGTGTGCATGTGCATGTGCTGATTGTGTGTATGTTGTTTTGCGTAGGTCATGTGTATGTGTATGTGTATGTGTATGTGTAGGTGTAGGTGTACGTGTACGTGTATGTGCATGGGTCTGTGTTTATGAAGGTATTTGTCTGTGCATACGGATGTGTACGTGTATTTTTAGATGCATATGTGCATGGCTACGCATATGAATATTCATAGGTATAGGTGCATGTATATGTATATGTGTGTGTATATATATATATATATATATATATATATATATATATATATATATATTATATACATATGCTTAAATGTGTAAGCGGTTATGTGTATGTGTATGCATATACATATTTACACGTACGTGTACATGCACACGGAAATGTTTTTTGGTTTAGGTTTATGCACATGTTTACACATTCTTACACCACTTGTCTCGCACTCTATGTTTGATCTCAGCACGTGTCTGCAGCGATAAGTGGTTTCTCGACCAAGCACGTGACGGACCCCAGAGGTCAAACGCAACAGGGAAGGCGAGCAAGGTAAGCGCGAGGGGGCAACCCACACCAGATTTGCCGCAGGATTGAGTGGGCGATTGAATGCTGATGGTTGGTATGGCTTGCTGCGGCTGGCGAGCGAAGGCGATTATCAAAAGGCGCCTTCGGAAAAAAGGTGGTGTGCGGACGAGGACGGGCCGATGACCCCAGGCCGAAGCGAGACGAGCCCCGCTGGCAGGCGCCCGACCTGGAGCTGCTCAGCCTCGCCAGCTCGGCGAAGTCGCGCGGCGTCTTTCCCAATTGGTTCCCGGCGCCGCCAGCAGAGGCCAATGCCCCGGGTCGGGTCGGACCCCAGGCATGCTCGCGTCGTGAAAAAAACACGACGGCGGTTGGCTGTTTTCGGCCTCTGGGGGGCCTCGCAGGGCCCTGGGACCGGCAAAAAGCGACTCGCGATGCAACAGCGGTCCTGGGGAGGGGTTCGGGACTTTCGGGGACCCCGTCGTGAAGCAATCAGGACATCGCATGTTTGGAGCTGGGAGGGGGGGGACGATATCTGCTGCACGCAGCTGCTTTTGGCCCCAGCGCCGAGCGCTTTCCTCGATACCGTGGCGCCTCTGGCGCCTGCAGGCGCTGGGAAGACCAGCTACGTCAGCTGATTCGCCAACCGTCCCTGTACTACCTCTCCATGTCGTCCGACCCCACTCTGGCCAGCGCCGCGGCTCCTGACAGGGCCAGGCCACCCTGACAGGGGGGCGCGGAGAGTAACCGCGTTTTTGTAACTCGCGGTCCTGGGACAGAGAGCTGCGCTTCTCCAGGGGGGCGGAGCGGAGAAGCGCGGAGGTGATTGCACTTCCCTGCTTCAGGCGGCGCGGGAGCGTTTTTTGTACCGTCCCCAGCGTAACGCTCGATAGCCGGCCCCCCCCCCCCCCCACTGGGGTATTGCTAACGATCGTACTGGGCGGGGTGGCCTGGACACCCCCCTACATGCTAGAGGGCGGACCCACCGCGGGTATGGCGCTTTGCTCACAGGCATGGCGTGGTGCTAAAAGGCATGCTTCGGTGCTCACAAACGTGTTGCGGCGCTCGCAGGCTCTCCACCTGTTGCGGCGCCGAGCTCACAGGCATAGCGTGGTGCTGAAAGGCATGTTTCGGTGCCCACGTGCGTGTTGTGGCGCTTGCAGGCTATTGCGGTGCGCATAGGTCAGGCGGATTCATTCCCAAGATGCCCTACTCGGAGGGCGGCGGGTCGGGGGGCCGTTGTCGAGCGGTTTTCGGCTGAGCGGGCGTTCGAGGTTGAACGCGACGCAGGGGCCCGTTTCGGGCCCCGGGACCCGCAGAAACGAGCCACGGCGCGAAATCGATATTCAAGATGGGGTGGAAAGTCTCCAGGGTCCTCCGGGAGCGGATATCGTTCAACATCGAACGATCCACGCGGTGTCAGAAACCAACGCCGACGGCGCTGGAGCTTTCGACCCCGTCCTGAGGCTCCTGCTGCTCCTCCTGTTGCTGCTCCTCTTGCTCCTCCTGCTGCTCCTCCTCCCGCTCCGTATTCCCTCCCTCAGCGAAGGCTGCCAGGACCGTTGAAAGAGGAGAGGAAGAGGAGAGGGGGGAGGAGGCGCAGGAGGAGGAGAGGAATGAGGAGGCGCGGAGGAGGAGATGAATGACGAGTCCTGAGGGCCTCCGTGATCTGTGGCGAGCCCCGCAGAGAAGCCTCGCAAACTACTGATGTGCTCGCTGGCACGTTTGGCGTTCTGGTATACACAGGTGTTGTGGTGCATGGAGGTATTGTGGCGTGCACCGGCGTTGCGGTGCACATAGTTGCTGTGGTGCACACAGGCGCTCTGGTGTACACAAGCGCTCTGGTGCACGCAGGAAATGCGGTGTACACAGGCGCTGTTGCGCACACGGCTGCTGCAGTTCACACAGGCATTGCGGTGTACATAGGCGTCGTGGTTCTGCGGTTCACGCGGCTATGGTGATGTACGGAGGCGTTGTGGTGTACACAGGCGGTGCTATGTTGCACGCAGGTATTGGGTCTTGTCGTGTGCACGAGGACTGCAGCGCACACAGGCGATTGATGCGGCGGTGGCGTAGACGCACCCTCGCGGGTGCACGTCGCGGCCGCCGCTACCCTTACCCACCCGCCCGACCCCCCCCTCTCGGGTAACGACCGTTACCCGGGAAGGGAAGCAAGAACGCTCATTAGCACGAGGTTCTGCGGCCAGGGCCAGCCAGGCAGCCGCAGAGCAGAGCACGGGCGATTCGAACTACATCTGCGATTTTGACGCGATGTGAATCGACCGCGTGCGCAATCTTACCTAGCCAAATCTTGGATCACAAATTCTGTGGGAGGGGGCCCTTTCGACGAGGATTCCCTCGCAGGCGTTGCCGTGAGTTTTTGTAGAAGGTGGGTGCAGCCTCGAGATTGATGTAGGCCTGATATATACGTTTTTATATATACAGATGTATATATATATATATATATACAAGACTGCATTGGCGCTGCGCGCCATGCACCTTGGTCGTTTGAGTTCTGAACGCAAGCGGAATGCGTGCGTGCCTACATGCGCGCATGCATGTATGCACGCGCACGTGCATGCACGTTCCGCATACATGTCTAGGTGTATACAATATATTTTCATTGTTGTATGTGTGTATACAGCGTACATATGTACATATAATTTTATGTGTGTAAGTGTATGAACATGCATTTGCAACTCGTACGGGACATCCTCTGTCATCTTCGCTTCATGCCACGAGACCCTCAACGACTGGGTCACAAAGTGACATGTCATGGGAGCAAAATCGATGAATGTTGGCATTCGGAAAGCTGATGAAATCCGAAAGGCGAATATGCTAAACTTTGTAAGTTTTACGAAGGGAATGGGACGATTTTTGTGGTTTGAAGGCCCCTTGGAAAGCTTTTTGGTGTGCCTTGGGGGTCTTTATGTTGGCATTCGGAAACATCGTGGGGGTGTTTTCGGGGCCCTCGTGGGCCGTTTTGGCACCTTCATGGGCCGTCCTGGGGCCTTCGTGGGCCGTCTCAGGGAGCATGGGCCCGCTGGAGCCCCCTTTGGACCCATCTTGGGCACTTCCGGGGACCTCCCATGGCCCTTTTGGGTCTGTGCTGGGAGCCCTTGGGGGGCCTCTTGGTTCCATTATGGGCTGTCTTGGGGCTCTCGTGGGCGATCGTGGGGCCCGGCTCGGCCGTCTTGAAGCTTTCTAGGGGGCCTTTTGGAGCGTCTTGAGGCGATCTCGGGGGCTTTGAAACCGTCTTGAAAGCTGATGAAATCCGAAAGGCGAATATGCTAAATTGTAAGTTTTACGAAGGGAATGGGACGATTTTTGTGGTTTGAAGGCCCCTTGGAAAGCTTTTTGGGGTGCCTTGGGGGTCTTTATGTTGGCATTCGGAAACATCGTGGGGGTGTTTTCGGGGCCCTCGTGGGCCGTTTTGGCGCCTTCATGGGCCGTCCTGGGGCCTTCTTGGGCCGTCTTAGGGAGCTTGGGCCCGCTGGAGCCCCCTTTGGACCCATCTTGGGCACTTCCGGGGACCTCCCATGGCCCTTTTGGGTCTGTGCTGGGAGCCCTTGGGGGGCCTCTTGGCTCCATTATGGGATGTCTTGGGGCTCTCGTGGGCGATCGTGGGGCCCGGCTCAGCCGTCTTGAAGCTTTCTTGGGGGCCTTTTTCGGGCGTCTTGAGGCGATCTCGGGGGCTTTGAGACCGTCTTGAAAGCTGATGAAATCCGAAAGGCGAATATGCTAAACTTTGTAAGTTTTACGAAGGGAATGGGGCGATTTTTGTGGTTTGAAGGCCCCTTGGAAAGCTTTTTGGGGTGCCTTGGGGGTCTTTTGGGCCGTCCTGACGCAATTGGAGTCCCTCTTGGAGCGCTCTTGTGCTGTCTGGGGCCGCAATTGGAGTCCCTCTTGGAGCGCTCTTGTGCTGTCTGGGGCCTCCCTCGAGCCTTTCTGATGACCCCTCGGATCGCTTTGGGTCTGCTGGCAAGGCGTTTGTGGAGACCCGGAAAGCCGGGTGACCTTTTCCAAGGACGTCCAAGGGAGCCCGAGAACCCCCCCAGATCCTGGGGGTCCGTTTTTTTTTTTTTTTTTGTTGGGGGGGGGGGGGGGGGTTTACTCCCCCCCAGGGCTTGTAAAAATATAAGGAGAGGAATATATATATATATATAGATATAGATATAGATCTTGCCTCTTATTCAAAAGCCCGCTTTTCCGTAAGTCGATGCACGCGCGTGGGCATCGCCCTCTAGCGTGCGCGCTCCAAGTCGATGCATCGATGCTCCAAGTCGACGCAAGTGTGGACTTGTGGCCCCCCGCGGGGGTGGCGCCCGTGGCAGCGGCCACCACGTTTAGCGGCCTTTGTGCTCCCACCAGTTTTCGCGCGGTGCGAAGCCGTTGAGTAACGCATTGGGGCCTCCTTGGCTCCATGCGGCTGCCTTTTTTGGCTCTCTCCGTTTTTCTCCTCTCCTCCCGCCTCCCCTCCTCCCTCCGTCCCCTTCGCCCTTTCTTAATTGGTGGCGCTGGGATGCCCGCCGCTTGCCAGCGCCGTGTGGCGTGCTTGAGGGCCGCTGTTGGCCAACCTCAGGTTTTGTCCGGGGCTTGCCCGCCCGCCTCCCTTGATCGCACCTCGCTGTGCGCTCTAGCCACCAATAGGTGGGCTCCCGCTCGCCTCTCGGCTGGTCGATTCTCAGCTTCAGCCTACACACAGGTGTACATTATTCGCCCAATCATGACACCATATTTTCGAGCTTGTGCCGCTAGCGCGGGTCAGGTCTGCAGCACATTTGTTTTATGGCGATGCTGATGCTACTGATCATCCCTTGCTCCGTCTCACTTCTCTCCCTCTCCTGCACCTCCTCCGTAGCTTTCTGGTTTTAAGTTTACTTGGTAATTCATGGAGCTTGAATCCAGGCCCACATCATTGGTTTTGGTGTGTTCATCGAACAGCGCAGCAATAATGAGGTGACGTTAACACTGCTAGATACGAAATCAGTCGGTGCAAGTTTGATTGTCTTAGTGCCCTTTCCTCGACCAGACGGGGCTTGTATATACACGGGCTCCGCGCTTCGGCCTTTTCTCGACGAAGCGGGGCTTTTTACACACGGGCTCCAGATTTTGGTCTCTCCTCGACGAAGCGGGGCTTGTATACACACGGGCTCCGGACTTAGTTCCAGCCACGAGAGGGGCTTTGTTATATATATATATATATGTATATATACATTTACACATATAGATATGCGAACGCCGTCGGCTTTTTCTCGGCCAGTTCTGGGCCTGTCGGTCTTGGGCACGTGGGTCTCGGCCCGCGCTGGCCCCGCGCCGTCGTTGTGTCTGGCCAGGCCGCTGGCCAGCTTGCGACCATAGCTCCTCTTGTCTCTCTCGTGTCGGGCCCCCCTCGCCGCTGTGGCGGGCAAGAGCTGTGGCCATATCCACTGCATCTTGGAGTTTCGGACTCCCTTTTCCAGACACCCGAGGCGCAGTGGATATGGATAACCATCTGGCCCCTAGAGGCTAGAACTTTATCCATATCAACTGCGCCTTGGCCTTTTGGCGCCCCTTCCCAGAAAGCTAGACGCAGTGGATATGGATACAAATCTTGCCCGCAGCTTTTCCTGCTGAGGTTCAACCACCGGGCGCCGAACGCGCTGCAGCAGCGCTCGATGTCGGGCCTGTCCCGAGACCAGGCTCCCCGTGGCGCTTGTTGCGATGCAGTTTGCAGTGAAGAGCGCGCGGTGCATGTTTGGTGACGACAGCACGCCAACTTGGAGCCGTCTGGGGGTCTGAAGTGACCCAGCACTGGGTCTGGCCACCAGGAAGGGCGGGCAGGTTCGAGGTTCGGGGTTCGGGAAGGTTTTTGTCTTTTCTGCCTCAAGGGCCGTTTTTGGGCTCCGGGACAGTGAAACACTGATTCAGAGTTGAAGCCTGCATGAGATGGACGTCCGGGCACCGATTTTGAGCATATTTGGCTTCATCCCTCCTTCCTGGCCGATCTTCAGGGGCCCCCACCAGTTCAGGCCCCCCCGCCGCTTCCAGACGCAAGCTCGACCGGCATTGCGACGAGGCAAAGCGCCCCTGAGCGCAGAAACCGCTCGCCGTCGTGATGAAATGGCGCGGAATGAGTGTCATAGGACTTGGAATCATGTATTTCTGCAGCAAGGACATGTGGGGCGGGTTCACCCTCCAACGGCAGAGGCAGTTTTCCATATGAGAAACACGTGCGGAGTAAGTTTTGACCGCGTAATGAACATAGTATGGCTAAAGATAGCGTGGTTATGGTCCGAAGCCTACTCCGCCGCCGCCAGATCCCATGTTGCAGGATTTTACGGTGGAAAGGGGGCCCCACGTCTACTGGGATGGTCAAAACTTTAGGAATGCCACTGCAGTCGTAGTTCTGAGCTCCCCATTATCTTCACCTGCCCTGGGCCACCTCTACATGCACGCTGGCATTAGCCGTTTGTGCATGATGCGCAGCGGCTAGAGAGGCGATCTACGGACATGTCCACAGATGGTAGGGCGAACCGAAGCAATGGAAGCCATAGGAGGGCGAATCAATGTATAGGCAACGCATTCCGTATTCTTCAAGGTTGCCTTATGGTTGTTCATCGCAATTTATGTTCGAGATGCAAATGCACCACGCCCGAGCTGTTAGCCAGCGTCATCAGTCCGGTGAGTAAAGGATGAACAGGTTGCTCGTGATTTGTTGAGGTTTCGCGAGTCCCCACCCACCTGTCCAGAAACGACTTCCAGGCTAGGTGTCTTCACAGTGGAATGAAGATTGGGGACAGCTGTCAAACCCAGTCAACCGTATAGGTTTTCCAAAGCTCGAGCTGGATCGTCGTACCGAACCTGAAGTCAGCCTGGCACGCCCCCAGCTGGAGACATCTGGGAGCCCTTTGCAAGTCTCATACGGCTATCTTGGGTGCCCCCACTGTCGCCCTCTTCCCCCCCCCCTCCCCACACTCCGCTCCTCCACAGCCCTGGGGGGTAGGGGGAGGGGTAAACCCCGCCCCGAAAGGGAAGCGGGGTGCTGGAAGATCTGCCCCCAGGAACCTTGCAAGCACTGAGGGCTGGGGGGACGTATCCGCGGCGCCCGAGACAGGCAAGAGCAAAGCACGGCCAGACAGGGCTTGGGCCCAGTGCAGACGCCGGCGGGGGCAGCGCCCAGGCCCAGGCAGGCTTCACGGCGCCTCGAGGCTCCTCGCCCGGCCGCGCCCCTCAGAGGCCAGCGGAGCGGGTCCGCCCGCTGCAGCGGACTTGGACCGGGCGGCGTCTGCGGCGCCCCCGCTCCGTGCAGCCGCGAGGACACACTTAGCGCAGGGCCTCACCGGGAGAGTCCGTGCCTGGAGCCGCGAGTTGGTGAGGCCGGCGGCGGGGGGGGGGGCGCGGCGCCCGCCCCCCCGGCTCCCCGAGCACCCCCCGGACGTCGATGGCGTCGAGGATGGATCTCCTTACCTTCCCTCCTTCTCAACGCTTCGCCGCTCTCCCTCTTCCCCTCCCACAGGTTCGCGACTGGTACCGGAGGCCACCAGGATGATAAAGCGGCCGAGTGGCTCCGAGGGGTGCAGGAGAAGAGGGGCACTTTGGCCCATCGTGCTTTTTCATGGGAACGTGGTGGGTTGACACGGCGTGCAGAAGGACCGAGGAGCCGATACGCGGACACCGCGGTGGCATTCACGTCACGAGCGTGAGGGACGGGAGCTGAGGCTCCGCCGCGTGTCCCGATTAGGGACGGCCTCATAGCCGATGGGCGCGTTTGCTCTGCTCTGCTCCTTCCTCCCCTTCTCTCCTCCTTCCTGTCCTCTCCTCCTCCTTCTGCTCCTCATCTTCCTTCCTCTCCTTCCCCTGTGCCGATGCACCCGATTGCCACCCTGGCCTCCTGGCCTCCGCAGATGTCGACAGTGTCGAAGATGTACTCCACCAATCGCGGGGTGCGCAAGCCGATTAGGTATCTCTTGCAGGCAGGGACTTTTCTCACCTCATTCCTCCGTCCAGCCTCGGGATCTGAAGCGCCGAGGGCTAAACGGAATGGAGATGTCGGCGATGGCGATGACAGACGATGGCGACGATGATGGTCAGTACGATGGCAGCGACAATAATTGGGGATGGTGAAGAGGCGGATGGGCAGGTTGAGAGGATTCTTGTGCGCGATGTGGCACATTCGCAGATCAAGGATGATTGCCTTGGTGACGACGATGACCAGGAGGTGGCTCAATATTGAAACATGAAGAAAGGGGTGGAACCAAATAAAGCTGAAAATAGTTATGGGCAGTAACAGGACGAAGCGAAGTCAGATGTGGAGCGAGAAGCAACTGATGTGGAGTACGATCATGATCGGGAAGTCTTTGGCGAGTGCACAGGAGGGTGTTGCTGAGAGGGAGTGTAGTGAGGAGAAAGCATCAAGTCGGTGAGGATTGTCATCATCAGTTTGCATGGGAGCGCTCGCGTCTTACTTATGTCTGGCTCTCCTGACTATCACTTCTTAAGGCTAGCTCGTGCTTGTGTATCGGCGCAAGCCGCGTGGCAGCAGAAAGACGGCTCTGAGTGCCGATGCAGAGCGTTTGCAAGCTCACTCGTGCAGCTCTCGTGCTGGGAGGCCCTCTGGGGCGGCGTGTGCCTCGCGGACCTGCGGCTGGCCTAGGGGCCCTCGTGCGCTCCTCCGCGACTGCGTGCCGAGACCGAGCGTTCCTGTCCCGTGCGCCTCGGCCCAGTGCGCTCTCGCGCTTCCCCGGTCGCCGACCGCTGCGCGCCGATCGCTACCGACCCCTTCGGGCACACGGCTGAGCGCCCGCAGCACGGCAGTTTCTCACGCGTCGCGGAACTCGTTGGCCAGGTTCGCCCCGCCAGCTGAGGTGGCTGGTCTCCTCCGCCATCACGTTCGTGCCGGGTGGCGGCCCTGGGTTCTTGGCCATGAGCATTGCGAGCTGGGTGTTCTCCGTGCTCGCTTGGGCAGATGCCTGCGTGCACCTTCGGAGGAGCCGTCACCTCGTCGTCGTCGTCCCTGCTGGCGCGCCCCTCACCTGGAAGCAGCGGTTCCCATGGCAGCAGGTTTTTTAGGGGAGCTTCGCCTCCCGCGGCCTCCGTGATTTTTTCTTTGTTCTCCAATGCTGTCGCCGCCACCGGCAACTCCGTGCATATGCGATTATTCTCTTGGACGGTGTCACGTGAGCGTGCATCGTCAATACCGCATTGTGGCCGAAACCTGAATCCTTTTGGAGGCTGGTGTTTCCAGCCCAGAGCTCCTGCCCCCATAGTCCATCTAGTCCATTCGTAATGCAACAATTTGTTAGTTGTGCAAGAACGTGTCGTGGGATTCATAGTTTTAGCCGTAGCTCTCGTAGTGGTAGTAGTGGTCTTAAATGCACATGTAGTAGGAACTGCAATCGTAGCTGCGCTCGGCGTCATGGTGGGAATCAGAAAGGTAGCGGAATGCTGGTAGCAGCAGGAAAAGTGGTGATAACATCCGTAGTCGTGGCGGACGTGGTACCTGTGAGAGAGCGCCCACGCCGCGCCGCCCGAAGCTCTCCCCCTTTTCTTGGCATTTTTCAGCTGGGGGGTCCCTAGCTGAAAGGGGGGGAGGCGTGGAAGCTCCCCCCCTCCCTCCCTGGTCGGGGTTCGGGGCAAGCCCGGGTTCCCCTTTCCAGAGGGGGGGTGCTTCCGAAGCCCCCCCCCCCCCCCCCCCTTTGTCTGGATTTTGGAGCTGCGGAGTCCCTGGCTGAAGGTTGGGGGGGGGCTTGGAAGCTGCCCCTCTCCGCCCCCCCCCTTTTCGGGGCTTCCGAAGATACCCCCCCTCCACTCTTTCTGTTGGCATTTCCAGCTGGCGGTCCCTGGCTGAAAGGGGGGAGCTTCGAAGCTACCTTTCCACTTGAGTTTTCGGCGCTGTGGTGCTGGGTACTCGTTTAAAAGAGACAGCGCCCCGTGTTCCTTCCGCACTTCCGCACCCCGCACTCCCTCTCCTCTCATCCATGCTTCTGCCCTCTGCCCTCTGCCTCTTTATCGTCATCATCATCATCATCAGCAGCAGCATCAGCATCATCATCATCATCATCATCATCATCATCATCATCATCATCATCATCATCATCATCATCATCATCGCCATCGTCATCATCATCATAATCATCAGCATCGTCATCATCACCACCATTGTCATCATCATCAGCATCATCAGCAACACCAATAAGATCATCATCATCGCCAGCGGCATCATCATCATCATCATCATCATCTTCACCACCATATCCATCATGATCATTGTCGTCATCAGCATCGTCATCGTCATCAACATACGCATCAGCATCAGCATCATCAGCATCATTAGCACCATCACCATAACCATCATATTGCCATTACTATCACCAACACCATCACCATCGCCATCACCATCACCACCACCATGACCATCATCACCACCACAGCCATCATCATCATCATCATCATCATCATCATCATCATCATCATCATCATCATCATCATCATCATCATCACCACCACCATCACCATCAGTATCACCATCACCATCACCATCACCATGACCATCACCATCATCATCGCATGGCACCAGTCACACGTTTCGTGGCCCCGATATGGAGCTCCAATGATGGCCTGCAAGCCAGCGCCCGCATGCGCCCGCCGAACCCATTTCGGCACACCCATCACACGTTTCGTGGCCGCACAGGGGGCCCCACCGAAGGCCCAAACTGCAGCGCTCGCATGCGTTCGCCGCACCCAATTTGGCTTCCAGGGTTCCGCAGGCTTGCTCAAGATCCTTCAGGATCCGTCAGGATCCCTCAGGATTCCTCGGGTTTCCTCAGGGCCCCGTCGGATTCACAATGATTCTTCATCATTCGATAGACTTCCGGAGGATTCCTCAGGATGGATCCGAATTGTTCAAGATAGCTGAGGACTCTGTAAGAAACCTCAGGGTTCCTCAGGACTCTTGGGGGAACTTCAGGATGCCTCAGAATTCCTGACGGTCCATGAGGATTCTTCAGACTCCCCTGGGATGCTCGGGGATGCCTCAGGGTCCCTTGGGATTCTTCCCGATCCCATTGGATTCCGAAGGATTCTTCAGGGTTCCCAAGGGTTCCTCATGATTTCCCAGGACACCGTCGGATCCCAGAGAATTCCTTTGGCTCTGTTCGCTTTCCCCAGGAATTCTGAAGTTTCTACACGCTTCGTCAGGGTCCAGCAGGACTCTTCGGGATTCTCTAGGGTTCTTCAAGATTGTCAGTCTCTTCAATTCCTTTTCTTGTCCTTTCACCCGCATGCTTTTCAAGCTTCACGTGCCCCCCACCGTCCACGCATCAACGATGTCCTGAATAGTCGCTTTGATAATAACAAGCAGAAGGCCAGCCGTCAAACCAAAGCTATGCGACCAGGCTGAGGGATTCCGAGGGATCAGGAGGAATCTTCACCGAAACAGACATCTTCAAGGAATAGCAGGAGTCCCACGCAACCCATCGGGAATGTACG